AGGAATGTGCGGCTCTAGGCGGAGTTTTGCTTTCATTATTGTGCCAGCTTTTAACCTTTTGTCTTGAACAAAGAGATAGCGTCTAAATAAACCCAAGGCTGCAGGTCCACCATTATGGGCCAGCGACAGCTTTAGTGAAGCGGGTCTGTGTTGAAGCCAGCTCAGAGGATTTCTCCCCAGGCATTCAATCTCTAACTGTGTGACTTATGAGCTGTGCTGTTTCTTACTCCCCTTTTTGTTTTCATAGGCTGTAGGATCCTGGCCGTGGAGCTGACATCCAAGGACTTCAAACCAGTGGTGCAGGAATTCCAAAGTAAGTGCTGCGGGGAACCTGTTGCGTCTGTAATTTGAGCATTCAGCCTCTCTATGGTGGTGGGTTTGCATCCATGAAAGAAGTAAGAGTCCATGCATTTCTCATAGCACCTGGTTTATGGAGGGAGGCAGTAGAGCCTGGCTCTGACATTCAGCCAAGTGCTTAGGTTTGTCCTCATTTAGCAAAGTGCTTTGCCTAAATGCTCTGTTGAAGCCTCTTGGAAAGATTTGACACTTGGACATAAAGCGAGAAAGGAAAGCAATGTTATAGGAATGCATAGCACTGACATTTGGGAGATGCATGGGCTTTTCCTGGCCCTGCTAACACACACTCATTGTGACCACTGGGCAGGCAGCCGGTTCTCTGTGCCTCCGTTTCCTCTTCTGTAAAATGGAAATCTCGGAGTTGCTGAATTACTCAAGATACCACGTGGCCTTCAAGTTGAAGGTGGTACAGGAGAATGAAATGTTCTCCTGCCGATGCCAGCGTGACCTCTGCAACTTAAGACAATGTCCAGGGAGATAGCGGTAACCCTAGCCTCACTTTGTGCGCCGATCGGAGATGAAGCTAGTACCGCATGCCTGCGCTGTGAGGGTTTGTTTGCTATAAATTGGACACCACTGTGTACAGTGTGTTCCTTTCTCTCAGCAGTTGCTATCTGCATGGCTATTATTTTTGCTGGCTGAGGCCCATCTTCCCCAAGGCTCCTGGAACCCAGTGGCGCTCCTGTTTGCAAGGCAGAAGAAAGGCAGGGCCTTTTTTGCTTTGGAGGAGACACCGCCCAGTAAAAACAGCATGTGAGGCTGCTCTGAGCAGAGTGAAAACACAGCTGCTCCCGATTAATCTGGAGTTGTTTGATTTCTGGTGCTAGGTATCGAACTGTCCTGCATCATTACATCCACCACGACGCCTGACCCCAGGATCGAGTGGAAGAAGATCCAGCACGGCGAAACCTCCTATGTGTTCTTTGACAATAAAATGCAGGGTATGAAGATCTGTTGCTTTTTCCGCTGTATTACCATAGAAGCCATGAGGGCAGTAGATGATTCCCTGAAAAGCAAGTACTCGAGCACTTGTACTGATTGCTGCTAGGACCTGTGCTGGTCAGCCAGCGGTCAGTGTGGAGTGAGGACTGGATCCTGCTGACACACCTTAAGCTAGCAGTCAAGATATAGAGCCACACAGAGAGCTGGGGGACTGGAAAGGGAATGACCCCCTGTGTGTGAAACCATTTGTTGAATGAATACGAGACAAATGCTGCAGTGTCCTTTCCCCTGGGCCTGCAGTCTCATATGGTCCTTGAGTGTCAGAGGATAATGCCGAGTGTGGCTCTTAGGGCCAGATGTTGCTCTTGCGTGTCCTCCTATATGAAACCTTGATGATCCTCCATCATGCCAGAGGAGGGCTGCTGTTTGGGATAAGCAATGCAGTGCTGTTCCCACGGCAGCAGGTGGGACTTACTGTTAACAGGGAGCACTGCCAGCCTTGGGAAGTGGAGATGGCGATTGGAAACGCGATGTCCGGTTTGGCAGTGAATATAGACACTAAGTAGCAAACAGGGCATGTTCCAGAAGAGCTGCCGTGCATTAAGATCAAACTTAACCCAATTTAGCTTTATAGTGTTGATGAACCCTTGGCTGACGAAGATGGGACATTTTACCCCACCAGTTTGTCGGGGGGTTGAGATCTACAGTACGAGTTATACTTTCCCATTCAGAGTCTGTCCTTTGCACAATGAACTGGACACACCAGGCGGTGCACTTGTAGCCTTTACGGTATACCACCGGCCATGATTGTTCTCTTCCCCCGTCCCATCTCTAGGAGACTTCGCGACGCGTGCAGAAATTTACGGCCGGACATCACTGGTGATCAAAAACGTCACCCGCATGGATACAGCCACATACCGCTGTGAAGTGGCGGCGCCCAACGACAAAAAGAACATCGACGAACTTAACATCGAGCTCACAGTGCTAGGTATTGGCTCAGCTCGCGACACCATAGCAGGCGCTGTCGGGTAAATCATGGGCCTTGTCAGCCTCTCTGGAGGGCTGCTCTGTGTGGGAGGAAGTGGTGATTGTCACTGCGAAGATCGATTCCTCCTCTGTGGTCTGGAGCTTAAACCCGGTGCGAAATTGCTGAAAGCTTTGTCAGCTTCAGCATCGCACATCTGTTGGAAGCACACGAGAAGGTCGTTTCCGTGGTGGGTCTCACTTCTGGAGGGGTAGCAGTTTCCGTCATGCTGGGTTGGTCCAGCTGAACCATTGGTGCGTGATCCAAGAAGCTACTTGGATAGATGGGAGCTGCCAGATCCATTCATGTTTCTTGTGCCTTTCTCCTTCCCCACCACAACACCCCCTGCAGTGAAACCTGTGACTCCCAGATGCAGAGTGCCTAAAGCCGTACCTGTGGGCAAATCCGCTTCCCTTCACTGCCAGGAGAATGAAGGCTACCCAGCCCCCATTTACAGCTGGTACCGCAACAGCGAACCTTTACCGACAGACTCCAAATCTAATGCCAAATTCCAGAATTCCTCCTTCATCTTGAATCCAGAAACCGGCACTCTGGTAATACCCCCGGGGGGAATGACTGGGAAGGATGTAGCTGGAGGGGCTGTGGCAGGGATGCCCAGCATAGGAAATGGGTTGTTCTCTTTGTATGTGCCCACAAATGAGTTGATGAGGCGGCAATAACTGGAACTAGTTGAGACACTGCAGGCCCTTGCTTGTCTGGTAGAGTCCAAGAGGCCACATGGGGAAGGATAATTCAGGGGGACCAGAGGGAAGGATTCCCCTCCATCCTGTACTCTGCCATGGCCTTGCAGACATTAGAACCCCTCACTGGGAGGGAGGAGAAGTGGTCCAGGAGTCCTCTTTTATTTTTTTCCCCTTTCTCCGTATCTAATGCATCTGTTGCTGTGACAGCTAAGTGCTCTATGCAAGAAGTAACATTTCTGTCCCTAAAAGGACTCTGCTTGTTGATGGATGTCTTCCTGGGGGAGAATGCCCCCAGTCCAGTTTGCAACCTCTGTTATCAAAAGAAGGCATGTGCAGCGAGAGCTCCTGCAAAGTAGCAACGCTCTAGCTAATTCCTGGGGTTCTCTAGAGGCTGTGCAGATGCAGGCTTGGAGACACGGTGCGTTTTCCCCGTGGGGTCTACCTGATCAAATGGCAAGCAAGGACATTGCCGCCTACAATGACCTTTTACTTGTTTGCAAGTCCGTGGGGTCTAGACCTCTTTTCTCATTTGCTATTTGTGAAGAGCCTGTGGTACTGTCTCCTGTCTCTGACGCATTAACTCCAAAACAGGTTTTCCACGCTGTGCACAAGGGTGACACGGGCCGTTACTACTGTATAGCAACGAATGACGCCGGCGTCGCCAAGTGCGAGGAGCAAGAGATGGAAGTCTGTAAGTGGCTGTGCCTGCCCGGCAGGCTATCTATTGTGAGGACTGCAGGGATGGCTTAGTGGATCTTGTGTATTGTCAAGTGTTTATGGCCTTCCCCAATCCATGGTATTTCCTATAAGCCCCACAGATGCACATGGTGCTTTCCAGGCAGATAAAGAGCCAAAGCTTCTTTCCTGGCACCTTAAAAACAACTAAGGGTAAGAATATGGGGACACATGAGAGTACAGTGAGGAAGGGCTTGGTGAAAGGCATCACAAAAAGGAAACAAGGGCAAACTGTCAGCCCCTGACTAGTTAGATTCATAGATTCATAGATGTTAGGGTCGGCAGGGACCTCAATAGATCATCGAGTCCGACCCCCAATTGAGTTGATGTACTTCACATCTGCTCTGCATTACTTATCTGAGGCATAATAGACCGTAGCTGCAATAGGGCCTTTCTTGGGTAGTGCTTCTAGAGCCCTTTACTAACAAGATCATGTAAAAATAGATATGCACACTACTTCATCCACCTCCAGGGAGGAACATGGGCAGTTCTTCAACAGTGCCCAGCAACACCATACCACAGCAGAGTACAAGAAATGAAGAGCCCCTTAACCAGGCAGGGACAGCAAGGGGTATTTTGAATGCCTTCGAAGTTGCAGACTCAGGTTTCCTACATCACAGCTACAGTCAAGTTGTACATCCAGCTTGGTGATGAGCAAGTATAAAGAGGGCCAAGGATGGGAGAGAGGGGGAGCAGTGCTGGTTATGTGGCAGGACAGTGACCAGTGCAAGGCACTGGGAGATACTTAAAATAATGGTTGTGTTGAAGAAGAGGTGGGATAGGCATGTCAGGGATGATTTAGGAACAGCCAATCCTGCATCCGTGCAGGGGGCTGGATCTAGATGATCCTATCATAGAGAACTGTGGCTGGAAGGGACCTCCAGAGGTCATCTAGTCCAACCCCCTACCTGAGGCAGGATCATTCCTATCCAAACCATCCTATACAATTCATAATATAACCTCTTACTAAAACTACTGTCAACCCTGCCACAACATAAGACATAACACCCTAACCTGCCACAAGTAAAATGGGGGAACCATGGACACCAATGTCCTGCTTGTATAAAAGCTTTTTACTATACACTCAAGAGTTCCCAGCTTAAGGTCATGCCCTGCTACAAAGGCAAAACCCCTGCAGTCTGTACCAAACTGACCACAGACATTAGACATTACAGCTGGAAGGTACCTCATGAGATCATCTGGTCCAGTCCCCTGCCCAAGGGCAGGACGTCAGCTGAGGTCAGGGGGTCCCAGCAAGATAGTTGGCCAAGCACACCTTGAATCTGTCCAGAGTAGGTGCTTGCACCACTTCTTGGGGGGAATTTATTCAAGACGCTGCATACTCAGACAGCAAAGAAATTCGTCCTTATGTCTGGTCTAAAATGGTCTTGCAGCAGTTTGTGACCGTTGGACCTTGTTTTCCCTGGCACAGCCCTGGTGAACAGATGTTCTCCCAGGTCCTGATGGACACCCCTGATATAGGCTGCCACCAAGTCCCCCTGAGCCTACGCTTAATCAAGCTGAAGAGTCCCATGCCTCTCAGCCTCTCCTCATATGACCTGCTCTCTTGACCTCTGATCATGCGTGTGGCTCTCCTTTGGACTCTCTTGAGCTTCTCCATGTCCTTTTTAAAGCATGGAACTGAGGATTTGATGCAGTACTCCAGCTGCAGCCTCACCGAGGCCAAATAAAGTAGGAGAATGACATCTTGAGTCTTGTTTGAGATGCATCAGTAGATGCAAGCCGGGGTTTTATTTGCTAAGCCAGCTGCAGCATTGCATCAGTGTCTCATTTTCATCTTGTGGTCGATCATGACCCCCCAAGTCTCTTTCTGACCCCATATATGGTGATCTGTCTGGCCTTGAGTGGAGGGGCAAGACCCTCTAGCCAGGAACCTCTGGCTTTGCTCCCAGCAGGAGCACTAGCACACCCCAGTTGAAGGCCCCAGCTTTGGCTGCAGCCAACACCCAATGCCTCTGGGTGAGGATTAAAAGACAGCCTGACACATGCAGCAGAAAGGGGGAGAGGGGTCAACCAGCAAAGCCTAGAGGCCTGGGAAATACCCATAGTAGAATACAGGCATTGCTACGCTTGGCTCATCCCTGGCCAGTGGCTGTCAAACTTCTTCTTGAACACCTCTAGTGATGGTAAGTCCACAACTTCCCTAGGCAGCCTAATTCTACAGCTTTACTATTCTAACAGTGAAGAAGTTTTTCCTGATATCCACCCTAAACCTACTTTACTACTACTTCAAGCCATCAATCCACATCCTACTTTTTGCAGCAAGAGAGAAAAAGTGCTTTCCATCAAAGTCCCCGTAACCCTACAAATCTGAATCTTACTCCTGGGCTTACAGAGGGGTGAAAAGCAGGGCTCAAGCCTGAGTGCATGTGGAGATTAACTCTACTGAGGGACAGGAGCATAGACTGTATTTGGGTGCCAGAAGGCGTCAGAGGGCCTGCCTGGAGGGAGGCAGATCAGAAAGTGGCCAGAAATGGATGGGATCTTGGGCAGGGCATGCAGTTTTAGTGCAGGGTCGGACATCCCCGCTGTCTGGGGGAAGAATGACAGATGCCTTTTCTCCTCTACAGATGACCTTAATATTGCTGGGATTGTTGGCGGAGTCCTGGTTGTCCTAGTGGTTTTGGTGCTGATAACCCTTGGTATCTGCTGTGCCTACAGAAGGGGCTACTTCGTAAACAACAAACAGAATGGGAAAAAGTAAGGCTGAGTTTGCAATTGTCTTCCACATCCTCCTTTCCACTTCCTAGCACACAGCTGTCTTAGCAGGGCAGGAAACCTGCTCATTACAAACACTTCACTGCTTGGCTTTCCATTTCCCTGGCTACGGCCAATTCTTCCAGCACCCAGCACTGCAAGCACACGAAGTGTAGCTTTGTGGAAACAGGTGGCCGCACGCAAGCGACGACCTTGGGGAGTGTTTCTTTATGTTCGCTTCTAGGGGAAGTTCTGTGACAAGAACACGGAGAGAGAAAAGCCTCTTTCTCATATGTTCAGGTACTTTACCTAGAGGCGGGGGCTTAGTTCTGCTAATCCTCTACCATCCTCATTGCATTTACACAGCACCTTGGCAGATGCTTCCTTTGGTCACATGCTACTTGCATTTAGAAACCAGGGATTTACTGAGCAGAGCGCATTTGATAATCCATACAAGCATCAGGAAGGGTTCAGAAAGTGAGAGAGGGAGAACAGCCCCCCTTCACTGGAAAGTGCATCTCCCTGAATTCGGCCTGGCACTTACATTTGGGATTAAAATGACCATTTTGGAGTTGATCTCATGGACAGTGACTCATTCCTCCCTTGTCTGAGCATTTACAGCTGCAGCAGCCCTAGGGATCAGCATAAAAATAATTCCCCAAATCAGAAACAGAATTTCACAGCTCATTCAAATATTGAGCTGGTTTGAGGGATTCTGGAAGCTTAGTGAGAGAGAAGCCAGGATTAGAGTCAGACACTGGCTGGTCCTATTTTAAAGGGAGCAAGAGCCATGCTCCCATGTGCAAGAGAGCCCAAACCCTCCATTTAAGTACAATACATGATTGAAAGTTGTCACATGCTGGGGAAACAGGGCGTTAAACGTGATTTCTTGGGCACCAGTTTAGTCGCACCAAACCAGAAGAACTTTCCTGCAACTGTGCACAATGCTAGAGGATTAGCAGTAAGCCTGGCATCAACCAATCCAGAGTTTTAAATTAACCTCATTGCAATTACTATAGGGAAATGATGCTGTAGGGGCACAGGAAGGCATTACAAGAGGCTAGAAAATTCAAGTGATGGAAAACTGTAGTCCTGGCTTCAGCGTCAAGCACAGAAAAGCCCTTTCATTGAAAAAACAAACAAAACAAACAAAACAACCCTCCAATTTTTATCATTAAATCCCATCAACATAGGAATAAGATTTGTTTCCCTTATTTCAGCTACAAGACTCCTGCCAAACCAGAGGGTGTTAACTACATCCGGACAGATGAGGAGGTAAGAACAGGGAACCAAAAAGGTTTACTCATAACCTCTTAAAACCTGTAAAAGTCTGACCAGTTCAGGAGTCGCACTGTTTAGGATGCATGGTCCCTCTTCAGAGAAGAAAGATTATTTTTAACTGGGATATAGCCAACTAGTAAATTGAGGCTGATGATCTAAGAGAATAGGCTGAGACATTTATTTGGGAATAATAGGATCTAAGGGCACCTAACCATAAGCGCCAAGGCTGCTCCGGTGTGCTGGAATTCGTTAATTCAGTTAATCAAGTCTGCTGGAGCGTGGCGATTGCTGTGCTCCAGCAGCCTCCTGCATCATGTCCCTATGCTTAAAAATGGCAGTGGGGGTACTCTAGCTAAAACTTGTTGAATGAGCTTTAGTTTAAACGCCCCCACTGCCATTTTTATTTGCAGAGATGCTGATACACAAGACGCAGCTACACTTTAATTAGAGTGGCTCTCGGAGCTGCTTTAATTAAAACACTGCTCCCCCCACCACCCCTGGAGCACGTGTACAAGTGTCCTATGCATCTTCAGTGACTGACCCATATATATCTATTGTAGCTTTGCTCTAACCTGAGCATGTATTTGGTTGGTGCCTTGGAATCTATTTTCCTTGAGTGAGCGGACAAGCTATTGTGACTTTATAGAGAGTAACATGACTGCGTCTTGGGATTTCAACTGATCACTCAGCTTTGAGCTCCTTTTGGTAGAGATCTTAGAGAAGCGTGTTGAGTCCTATTCCATCATCTGAGGTGGAAATGCACTTAAACACTGATTTCAAAAACAGTATGCAAAATGTATGTGCACATTATGTACTTCTGCCATCACATGCTGATGAGTGGTTAAACAGAGAGCCAATGTAGCTGGAGTCCTAGAGGAGACTATGTTCAAGTCGCATGGGAATCCAAGGGACCATCAGTCCATTGGACCATACGTTCTGGGTCTTAAGGGGTATTCCACAGGGAAATCTACCCCCAAGGAGCATTCCTAGACACCCCAAGGTAGAACAGTGCCTGGGTTCAGGCTCCCAGAGGTTTAAAATACATCAGGGCCAGTAGAATGAGCCCTACATGATTTCTGACAAGTGTCATTGGTGTACCTGTATTAGCTCTCAGGTGATAGCAGCATTTAGACAAGGCATCAAAGATTATTATATGCAAATTATACCTGTTTTACAATGGCACATGTCAATGGGGACAGTGGGTATGACAGGCCGTCTGGAGAAGAACAATCCTTCACTCATTACTGTTTCATTCCAGGGTGATTTCAGACATAAATCTTCATTTGTTATATGAGATGCCAATAAGATACTGCAAGCCAGCAAGAACAAGTGTGAAAATGCCTCCTCCAGGAACTCAAGAACAAAAGATGAACAAAGTATGCCTGGAAGAGTTTGTACACACATGGACTTGATATTTTTTTTTTTTTTTTTTTGCCAAAGCTTAAGAACATCCTCACTGCCCAGCCATTCTCCCTCTCCCCACAACTGGCTCCCCCCAGAGATGCTGATCTGGATCACCTCTTTCCTTTCTGAACTGCAGAAGCTTATAGAACTTTCTTCTTTCTGTGGGGCAGGGCTAGAGACAGTGTACAAACCAAATGGGGAAGCAGCATTAGGTTAACATGCATCTTAATGCGATAGGCAAAAAGGCACTGACACAGCGCAAGAGACTAAAGAATAAGATTTATCGATGCAATAGGAGAAATCTGCTCACCCTAATGTATTTGGAAGTGTACTAGGCTTCTATGACGTGCACAAATGAGGGCTCCGAACCCTTCTTAGCATAATTTTATCTTTGAAGCTTTGCTAGGATGATTTGACAAAATATCCATCTCATCGATCCTACAAATCCCCGTGTGTGAGCATTTATGCCACTAGCTGGCCACTGTCCAGAGCATGGCAATAGCCTCAACCATTTGACTTTTGGGGACTTTAAGATCCCAGATTAGGCTTTGATTCTGCAGGTCCAGAATGAGCAGCTGAGTTGAGTCCACAGTGGGGAGGGGGTGCAGATACCATGCAGGCAACTAACATGAGTTAAAATGTCTTGGCCCTGCTGCCATATTTAACTTTTTACTCGCTGTGTATGGCATCAGTCCAAAAGGATTGCTTTTGTACACGGCTTTACAAAAACTTTTACCACATGAAGGCAGCTTTTCATTCTAATCAGCAAAGCAGGCTTGCCTGCTGTATTTTACTATGTCAGGATGCTTGCAGTAGAGGTGGAAAATCTTAAACGTTTCAATATCCCTCAAGTGAAAATTGAAGCCAAATGCATTCTTTGGGACTAATATTTTCAAAAGGTACTGAGATGTCTTCAAGCTTCTTTTTTTTTAAAACAGTTCCCATTTTTTTTTTTTTGTAAAATTCTGCATTCTAAATTTTTGCAAAGATATATTTTGATTACTTCAAAGAAGGTAACATTTCTATTTAAAATGTAAATATGCTATGCCAACAGTATTAAATAATGTTGCTATTTTTTAAAAAAAGTCATTTTTAGGCTACAGACAGGAGCTCAAATGCTGCGACAGCAGAGCACTGTCAGAGCATATCAGTATTATTGCAAAGAGTATAGTAAAGCAACTTAAAAGGCTGCAGATGAAGATGCATCCCTTTTCTCCTAACCTAGCTACAGCAATTTCTGTGCCAAGAGATCTTACAGGATACAAAATGGAGAGTCACTCAGGGATGGGTTTTGTAACTTTAAGGTAGGAGCTAGTCAGCTTTTATTTCAAATGATTTTTCTTGCAAGAAAACATTTATTTCTAAGAAATATTGTGTGATTTTTTTTTTTAATTCAATTATGACCCGGTAACAGAGTGACTTACGTACCACTCCCTATGCAAGTTCTTAAGGTTAACTTTAATTCATTTCCGTTCCTATGAATTTGGATTGCATAGCTTCAGTAAAAAAAAATCTTGAGTCGTGAAAGCAAAATGCTTGTCACAGAAGTAGTTTTGAAATATTAATTGCAACTTTTCTTTAGCTGGTAAAACTACCACTCTTTTTTGGCTTTGAAAGGGATCAGTTAGAATCCCTGGTTCTTCAGAAAAACACTTAATAGCATTGGATAAAAGCAAAATAGGTGGATGCAACACTGCAACTGTGCTGTGGTTAAAGAATGGGTTTTTAATGTAGTATAATTTAGTGTTCTTGTATTTCAACTATAAATTGAGTTGTCTTAACTTTTGATGCATACAGTATTTTGAATACTTGGCAATTTGGACTGTCAGTGTTATTTTTTAGTGTTTTGTATTAATCTGCCTTGGATTTCTCACCAGATATTGAGTGATTTTTTTTTTTTAAGGGGCCTCGCTGGACATGCCATTGCTGCATTTATTTAAATGCTTGTCTCATTACTTTCCCCTTCTGTTACTGAGGTGGAGCTGAAGTTGGGACAGCAATGCCCACATGCTCTTTGGATGGTGGCAAGTCGACCACCATTGCTTTGCAATTATGGTTACCTTTAAGTGATGCTCTTCAAAACCAGGTATTACTGTCCACTGGCTGCATGTTGTCCTCTAGTCAACATGGTGACAGGGTACTTAAAGACACTTCTCCTTTACCAGTTTTAGCCACTACTCTTTTTTAATATGCTGCTTCTAGGACATCTAAGATAAGGAAGAGAAGAAAAACCTCAGAGTCAGGGTGGCTTTTGACACAATGAGGAGCACAGACTGCAACTTAACCTTCCGCTGGAGGCAGCACTTCACTGCAAAAAGCCACAAGCTTTGTTTTTCAGATCAAAATGTGACAGTGGCATCTCTAACGAGATGAGGGGAAAACCACCCCACACGTAACTAATGAGATCTGATTTATAGAACTCATTGTAAATAGTTTAATATGCAGGTTTGTACTAATGTATTACATTTAACTTTGCCAAGAATGTTTTACATAAATATGAAGCTATTAAAGCATTCTCGAGTGTTTTTGTTTTTTTTAAGTTTAATATTACTCTTAGCCTGTATTTGCTTTGAGTTCAGTGAGATGGGTTAAAGAGTTCTACTCTTCTGCCAACTAATTCTCCTTCCAAGGGTGGGTTACAAAAAGTCAAGCTGGTATTTCAAGGCACATACAAGTACTTACATCGGTTTATAAAGATAACAGTTAACCCCACATCAAGTTGTCTCTGTTCTCAGAACTGCAGGAGTGACAACTAATCAATGACAAGTAAAATGAAAGCTTAGTTTTTGCGCTGTCCCTTTTTACTTAATTTCCTTTTGGCCTTTCAATACAGAAGTAAATATTTATGGGAATGTTGCAACAAAAATACATGAAGCAACCTATTTCTACACATGCAACAAAGCCTGCCCCGAGTTCATAGATTTCATAGACATTAGGGCTGGAAGGACCTCGGATGATCATCGGGCCCATTGTGTGCTTATATATTTGGATCCGGTTTGTTCTGCTTTATTCACGGTAGGCTGCTTCTTGCAGTCTGCTGAGCAAACTATGTAATACAAATGTAGTACAGTTGTTTTGGAGTTAAGAACTGGAAGATTTCACTTAAGAGCACATGGCAACAGAAAGTTGGGTGAAAAGTCCAGTGGTAACAGTTCTTTGCAATGAACAGTTTAAGGGAGCACTAAAATCTGAATGTGCGACTTACCATCCACAATACAAGAGTGAATTACTCAAATCTGCTTCCAGTGAAGATCATGTGTTTAAACTGCTGGACAATTATTCTAGCTGGATGGAATACTTCAGTTGCATCTGGCTTGGAAGTGGGTACCAATCAAGAAAGGGACACTAAGCATCTGTAATAGCAAGTAATGGCTGTGTAGGAATTCACACGTTTACACAGATGTGCACACCAACTGCTGCGATAGTTGTCAGAACAGCAGAACTTCTACGTGGCCACAGAACAGATGAAAGTAGTGGGCACAAAAGGGAGGGAAATCCTTTAAAGGTAGAAATTTACAGAAGAAAATAATTCAATGCTGTCAGAGCAAGAAAAACTGAGAGGCTGTGGGTTGAATCTGTTCTCTAAACATTTATTTTTCATAAAAGGTTAACAGCTGGAAATAATATGTTCCACGTATGGAAATTTTCCATTTAGAAAGAACGGGAAAGCTGCACAAAACACTGGAGCTTTAACTACAGGTAAAAACCTTAGCAACTTGCAATTATCAGATTTGCAGGCATGGCAGCATCAAGCTATTTTACCCTTGTAAATATTAAGGTAACGCTAGTATTTTATGAACAGGGACAATGTGGCATCAAGGGAATGATGTGAGCCAATCACCACCTTCTAGTAAAATAGGGGAACCCAAGCTGGGATAAACACAATAGTTTATCCGAATCAATATTTCTAACGGCTGCACTTACATACACTGGATTAGAATTTACGGCCAATAGCACTTAGATACCCATTTGGACAAGTTGCAAACCTTGTGCAGTGGGTACTGCATCTTATCCAGATACTGTAGCTTCTTGGCACTTCAGGTCACCCTATGGCAAAAAAATGTCATTAACAGCTTCAAATCCCCTAGCTTATATTTATCCACAAGTTAAGCCAACTTTACCTGTTGTATGTAAGAACATAAATAGACTAGGAACAAGGGAGACTTTACATACATAATTAGAGCAAGCCTGGAGGAGAGGGACAGGCTTTTGGTCAACATGATGAAGTTCTGTACAAGAGTAAGTGGGAAGTGTCAATTGGCTGGTTTCAGGGGGTCTCTCCGCAGGGACCTCCTTAAAGCTGGCCTTGGGCTGCTTTTTCTCCTGGCTGGAGATTCTACCTTCCACTGACGTGGCAGGGGCTTCCTACAGAGAAAAAGAGTACAGGTTTATTTTTAAAAGCATTACCAGGATTACTTCTGGCCAATACTGACTAAGGCCTGGGTTGAACTTACAGCTTATCTGGCGATGCCAGGCATAGAACATCCCTTTGTTGATCCTGGGATCTTTTTTCTGCAAATGACGGATATTCACATGGTGAACATACAGGTCAGATTATTATTTTTTTTTAATCTTAGGAGTGCGAGGATAAACTTGCCTGAATCAGAACCAGGTGTCTGTGTCAAGCTGATGTAACTGACCCCGGCCCCAAAGGTCAGGTCGTCAATCGTCTCTAAAGGAAACAGAAATAAGGCAAACAGAAATAAGGCAGTCAAGCGTTTGAGACAGACGGCAAGACAACTGCTTCTTTTCAACGAAGGAGACTGTATGACTATACTCAGTTCAAAATGAGAACATACGCATCTTTTTGTTCCGAGTCCTGCATCCCTTTGCCCTTGTGTTTTAAGTGGAGCTGTGTTGCAGTCTGCAAGCTTCAAGCTAACATGCATGCACTTGTTCAAATTGATCTGCTTTTCAGTATTAGAACTGAGAAGAAACACCCTCAGTTTTAGGGTGAGGGGACTACTGAAGATTTCTCATTTCCAGAAGTTTAGTAGTGCTTGTCCGTACCATCTCACAGACTGGGAGGAGTCTCCTCTGCTGGTCATGCGTTGGCTACTTTGTTTGGATCCAGACCCTGGACTTTGCATGCTTCTTGGCCCTCAGAGCTTGAGCAGTATCCAGACACTGCCTCTTCCCTCGCAGGCTTGTCTACAAGCTGACATAATTTTTGTCAAGTCTTCACCTTGAGCAAGTAATAAGGTCCAACATCTAACTGTCCTTGACTTTAAGGCAAAGGCCAAACCCACAAACCTCAAGTCTTTCCAGTGGCTAAGCATAACTTCTCCCCGACCCCCAAGCTAACAACTACTCTAAATGTCATCTGCCTCAGAAGACAAAAGCTTCAAATTAACTTCTTAAAAACACGCACAAATTATTCTTGAAGGTTTGCAGATCCATGCAAAATACAAACCCTGCAGGGTACAAGTCCCTCCCTCGCTGTCCTTAATACATAAAGGAGCTACTGTGTTCTGACCAGTCCTTTCAGGATCCCAAGACACTGCTCTTCTTCTGCCCCTGCACCAAGTGTTCCTTGGCTTGCTCAGGTCTGACTATCAGAAAGTACCCCCTAGCTCAGAGGGCACATATCTTTAAGAGGAGCTGTTAGTACTCTCTTTTGGCTTGGAAATGTCAGTTGCCCCACACCTCCAGCAGCTGCAGCTAACCTGAGAAGAAACCACTCTCTTTTACATATTCATTGGTTTTCAACAAGGGTAGAAGCATTTTACTTTAGCTATTCGTGATAGGATGTAGCTACGACAGAGTCCTTGCTAGAAAATGGCTATTTCAGTGCACACAGTTAGCGTTCACAATCCAGCAGAATTTCCAAATTGTACCTAGGCAAATCCCTCAAGTAGTCACGTCTTCCTCCTATCACAATGAATGGAGCAGGGGACCCTCCCAAGTAGTCCTGGACCTAAATGTACTCCCTTCACCTTCCTCTGTCTTTAGCGCTAGCTGTAATGGTACTTCCCTGAAAGCCCTACCAGTTTATCTCATTGGAGATACAAAGGTAGCACAGAATAAGTAATAGTGAGGTTTTTATACGTTTGCCCCCCACCACACTTCCGATGGAATTAGGGCAGCAGATGCTTGTAGGACAAGAGATGGAAACCTCTGTTAAACAAAGACCTTCATCTTGAGACCTAGCCATCTCCTGGTGCGTTTCCTTAGCTATAGAAGCATGCTATTAATGCCCAGTTTTATCTTTCCTCCTTGGATTTGCTTTTGACTACCTTGAGACTCACCTCTGAATTTCCTGGCTTTGTGTAGTGAAAGTCTTAAGTTATTTTGGTTTTCACATACAGAATGACTAAGCCTCCTTTAACTGCATTCAATAGTTGCATAATATGAAGATTAAGAATATGAGGGGAAAGAGGGAAATGGCCCAAATTACCACCAAACAGCCTTCTCACATTCCCTCTTGTTCCGTCTGCATATTGTGCTGTATTCACATTTGCATT